ACACTGATAATTCTGAATGTTACGGTGGCATACAGTGTGGATCTGTGATGTGTAATATAAATATCTCTCCATGAATAGTGTAGTATGTAAAAAAATCTCCATTAAAAGAGTAAGCAAATTTGGGTTTCTTACTTTTTCAGAATTTCTGGACTGTCTTTATACTAACGTACCATATTCCAGTCCAGGCTTCCCTCAGCAATAGCAATTAGTCATGTTGAATTGATCACTAGTAGATATCAAGAAATATTAGAACAATACTGAAAAATACTTCTAGCAAACTGTGCCCTAAACCAGAACCAGAGCTTTGTGTCCTTGAGATAAAAGGTAGTTCCCTTTTCCATATTTCTCCCCTAAGAGAGTTTAATTTATCTGCTTGCTTGCTTGCTGAGAGTCAGTGAATTGGGAACTCTTCAGACAGCGTTATAGAAAACAATCATCCTCCCATACATCACTTACCTGGGTGCCACCATTGATAGTTTCACCAAACCATACGTGCTTCTTGTCCCTGGCATTCTTGTTGATATACCAGTTCTTAGCGGGAATATGGTCAGGGTTGGCGTGGATGCAAGTCTCACCAGTGGCAAAGTCACAGTATACTCTAATGGCATCTGCAGAGCAGCCTTGGTTGGGATCAATCCAGTAGAAACCTGCCATTGAGGAAAGAAATGTGGACAATAGTTCACTCAGCTTAACCTTTGCATTCAGTTCATATTCACTTGTCTGATACAGGAACTATATCAGAGAGGCCAAAAATATCACAGGCCATAAATATCACAGCTAGGAACAATATTAAGGTGATAAGCGGGATGCATAGATATTTTGGATTGTTAATGCATAAGCAACTGTATTTGAAATCTAGGGTTAAGTATTTTTGCATTATTATGAAAAATTTTTGGAATAATGTGCAGCAATAGCAATGAAGAGCTTTTCAGAATGTATCTATTTTCAGTGGAGGCAGCAATAACTTCTTCTTTGTCACTTAGTATTTTTGCCAGGTGGCCAAGGATGCCATTCAAAGAAATGAGCCAGAAAGGGCAAATATCTGGCACCAACATACCACTGCTCCATTCTGGGTGGCTAAGTCTTAGGTCACGACAAGTGCGAGCTGGGTTCTTTTTGGAGCCTTCTGGGGTCAGCAGGGTCTCAATTTGGTTGTTCAGTGTTTTCAGAGTGGCATCGACTTCATAATCCTTGGGTCTGAGAGAAGGCTGATCAGCCCGGTAGTATTCTGCATCAAAGCCAACTTCATATCCACCACCATTGGGACCAGGGGGACCAGGGGGACCAGGAGGTCCAGGAGGACCCTAAAGTTTTTCAAAAGCAAAAGACAAGAGGCATTCTGTTAGACATATTTTTCTCTCCATTAAATGCTTCCACACATGCATAGTCCTACTTAACTCCTGGCACCCTTAGCTCTAATCAGAGGCAGCACATATGGGCTTGCCCTGTGGTGATTGCTATGGGCTGAAGCAGTGGAAGATGCACAGTGTAGGACTACCACACCTCTTTTGTGTATTTGCTGTCTGGCTGTAAGGAGTGAATAAGGACTTCAAGTTTAAACCTAATAGGGAAATGCTTCAATATTTTTTTAAAATAAATAAATCCACATATATTCCTACACTGCTAGGTTTCTAGTGTGACATAAATGTGTTAAATCAGCAAAATAAGAGTTATACTCACAGCAGGACCTTGGCTACCATGAGAGCCACGCACACCAGCAGGGCCAATAGGTCCAGGGAGACCATTACGACCATCTTTACCAGGAGGACCAGAGGGACCAGGTGGACCCTAAAAGGAAATTTGAACAGTTTAATGACAGTAAAAACACTGCAAATAGAGATTCATATAAATGGGAGTGTACATATATATTGCACAAAAGTAATGGGAGAATTATTAGAATATGCTCTGAAATTCACATACCCTTGGGCCAGCAGGGCCATTGTTACCAGGAGGACCTTGATCACCGTGTTGTCCCTATTGGGGAAGATATATGCATAGTCATTAAAAAGTGCAGTGGCATGTGTTTGTATTTGCATGATTCAAGAAGAAGCTATAGTTAGAGAATGGTATTCTAGGGCTAATTACATTTATTAGTGGAGTTGGGATATAAAATGCTTGTTTTGGGAGGGAAGGAGAAAGGGCGTAAAGAGGTATTTAATGGGATAACCTATAAAATTCTCTATATTGTTTCTTCAGGTTTTCAGAATTCCTGGAAGGCAATACCTCAATTTAAAAGGGAAGAAAATTCATAAATTACTTCTGCTTCTCTGATACAGAGGCTTTACAATTTCTGGCCAAAATAAGAAATAAGACTAAAACAAAGAGGTTTTTTTAATTCTGTGCTAGCCAAATGCAGTTAAGTTTCAAGGCAACTAATAGTACTCATAGTTCTAAAGCCATTAAAATAATTAATTATTAAAATTATTAATAAAAGCCTATTAAAATCTGCCATTTTATTTGAAGAGCATTGAGTGTTAAAGAGACTCTTAATGGCCTTTGAAAGATGATGCAGAATGGAGTAAGTGGTATCAATCTGATGAGTTGTGCATATATAATTCCACCCTAGGGTGACCTTATTTCCTCTTTTTTTTTTTTTAACTCTTTATATTCAAAATCCTAAAAATCAATTACTTACAGCCAGACCAGGAAGACCCTGTAATCCATTGTGTCCCTTCAAGCCAGGCAGACCTCTAGGACCCTTGTCACCAGGTACACCTTTCTCACCACGTGGACCTTGTGGGCCCTAGGAAGGAACACAGTTGTCAGAGGAATAAGCATAAGCACTCTATATTATGCCATAGGTTGCCCCAATATGTGTAAATTACATCCTGTTAACACAACCAGGAAAAGTGCCAATCCCAAAAGTTTCAGGACCAATCCCACAAAAGAGAATGCTGATTGAGATTCTAGATCCATAAATATTTACAGGTCCTTAAGCACTACTTTTTGGGCCAGTATCTTGAGCAGAGTCATTAGTCCTTATTAATAAAGTATGTTTTCTCTTTTTGCATCAATGTGGTAATGTATTTAAAAATCAGACTTACAGCAAGACCTCTTGGACCAAAAGCACCAGCAGGACCGACAACACCAGCAGGACCCTGAAACAAGAATAGAAAATGCATGGCACTGTTGTACACTATTCTAATGAAGGTTCCATGCTCAACACATTTCTGCAGAAAGTAATTATCCACACATTGTAGAGGTGTGAGGTATTTTATATCTGATGGACAAATCTTAGTCTTCTTAGACCTTAATAAAAAAATTAAGGTTTCATCAACTTACGGGTTCACCACGGTTTCCAGGCTTTCCAGAAGGACCAACTTGGCCATGAGGACCAGGAGCACCCAGAGCACCACTGGGACCAGGACTACCAGGAGCTCCACGCTCACCCTGGGAACAAAGAACACAACAGGAGAGACAGTGTGTTACTACTGACTTACACATATTGGAATATTTCTTCCATGGTAATGAAATAAAATAAAAAAAAAAAGTTACCTTGAAACCAGGAGCACCATCACGGCCTGGAGGACCATCATTTCCAGGATTGCCCTGTTAAAATATCATGAAAAAAAATCAAATTCCATCACTTTTCATCTCATATGGAACTGTGTGTCAGACTAATTGCTTCCAATGACAGTAAGAAGACATTGAATGGGATAGTATTAAACTTGAAGACAAAAAGGTCTCCCTTATAGATACTATTCTCAAATCCCTCACATATATTAATCTTCTCAGAAAACTAAATTACTTCGCTGTAGTACTTCACAAGGTTAAATGGCTTCCTTTGTGAATGTTAATCTCACTTCACCTGTTTCACTGTGTACAAAAGTGAACCTTTTCCTTCAGAAAATTCCAATGGAAGAGAAAGTTTGTTTGTTTTCAATTATTATTCTCTGTTTTCTTTGAGATTCTGCAAGTTTCAGGACTTGCAGGTGCCCTGTATTAAAAATACTTCAGGTTATCAAATATGCTTCCCTTCCTTTTCCCCTTCAGGGAAAGCTTTATATAGTTCTCCTAACAGGAAACAAGGCAATGTGTTAGTATTTTACTTGAACTGTTCTCAAAGTGTAAGTCATGTATAGCCACTGTATGGATTCCCTGCTTTAAGATGAACTGCTAACCTGGATGGTTAAATTAAATGGATAATTTATTTGCTACTCTATGAAGGTGTTGGAGCAGGACTCTGTCCTTCAAGTAATCACCCTCGAGGCAGGACGTTAGAGGGAACAATTTGTTCCACTCCGGTGTTCCTACATTCCCCCTTCTGCACAGGGCTCATGTCACCATTGTGCCTTAACCTGCAGTTCAGCAGTACCTGCCACACAGGCCAGAGTTGGCTCTGTGGTGTTTTTACCCTGCAAACTTACTTTATGTTTTGTGGAGAGGGAATGCACATTGGGAAACACTGTGTAGCTCAGCCACAATGTTTAAGTGTATCTGTTTTGTGAGGACTCCAAAACAGTGCTGAGTGTTGCACAACTCCAAAAACTGAATTACAACATTTTGTGTAATGTGCTTCATAGGCCTTCTGAGCCTTAATTTTAAAAAGCTCTGTCTTTAATACCATGAATCACTAGATACCTCAAGTAAAAGTGACTGCAATTTTCATACTTCCCTGAAAGATATGTATAATGTGTCTTACATGATGTTTAAGAAAATTTATTGATAAACAAGGCTTTTGTGATATATTCTTCTCTATAGCCAATGTACATCCCCTGGAATGTACTATTTGTTCTCAGTTCCAGCAATGAAGTAATCTTTTCCCCACTCCATCTTTCTTGGCAATTAAGTAAAGAAGTCAAAAGATTTTGATAGTGACTCCAGAATGTATTTCAGACATAACTTGTGCCTTGAAGAATTTATCACCTAATTGGGGATGGGAATCTATGCCTATAAAAATCCTGATATAATTTTCTCTGAAGACATTGCAAGGTACAAGTTTGCTAGCAGAACAATCTCCAGTTCCATCCACTTTTTCTGTGTATTTGTCTTTGCCTCAGAATAAAAGAAAAGCAACCTGAAGTGGAAATAAGACAGCTTACATCACGTCCAGCTTCACCAGGAGCACCATTTGGACCAGGAGAACCCACAGGACCAGAGGGACCACGGGCACCAGGAGGACCAGAAACACCCAGGGGACCAGGTTCACCCTAATATAGGAACAGTGGTAACAAAATGTGACATTATAATACAACACAAACCAGTCTTACAGAACTTTTGGCCTTTATCTAAGAGAAACATTTCTCTGCAACCAGTTCAGGAAGTGAAAAAGAATCAGGACATGTGAAACATATCTAACTATATCAAATATTATCTTCATTCTAAATTTTACATCAGAAACCTCTGATGACAGTGAGAAATATGCTCACTTACTGACACAAGTCTTGTTTGTCTGCAACAAGTCATAATTTCTTCCATTGCTCTAAGTCTGTTAAGTTCATATCTTCTGTTTCCAGCAGCAATGGAAAGAGGAGAATCTACATCTCCTTTTCCCTGGCTTCCCATAAGAGTGGACCTCAAGTGGTTTGTTTTTTTTTGTTTTTTTTTTTTTTTTTTTTTTAACACATTATCTGTTTAAAGCAGTTTACTAATCATATACTCACTGTTGCTCCAGAGATGCCTGGAAGACCACGTTCTCCCCGAGAACCAGGCAGACCAAGAATACCAGGAGCACCAAGAATACCCTGAGGACCTGGGGTACCAGGAGGACCCTGTGATGTGAAGAGAATAATTTTTATATTACAAGACAATAATAAATTTAACATACACATCTGTCAATGATACTGAAGATTTCATTCTCAGCTGCAACTTCTGCAGATCACAGAAGACATTTCTATAATTTTTTTGTTGAGAAACAATGGGAGTATTTCACAGGGGTACTCACTTCAATAAGACATAAATGTGTATGACCTTAAAAAAAGCCAGTAATTCAGATGTGCAAGCTTAAAGATACTCAAAATTAATTAATTTATTTGCATAGTTCTAAGTCAACCTGGGGGAAGACAACTTTAACATCATGATCCCCACAAATCAGAGTTTCTGATGCAGATATGAATTGAGATTGTTCTAAATGGATGTTTACATGTTCCCTTTTCCATCCATGATGATCAATTTCAGAGCAGGAGACTCTGCTCCCCTTTCTCAGACTAAGTATCAATTTTTTCTCTAATTAGTCATATTGCTTTCATTTGCTCTACTTACAGAGAAAGATACAAGCGCCACAAGAAAAACAAAGAGCAAAAAAAACCTGATCCAGGGATCAGGTTCACTTTTTAAAGGCGTGTTTGTCAAACACACCTATAAACAATTTCTTGTGTCTCACTGGAACTATTTAAAAACTTTGCTAAATTTTGTGGGTAAAACAGAAAAGCCCTTCACAAACATTGAAAGTATCTTAGAAGCCATAACATTTACATAAGAGAAACACCTTTAACGAGCTGTTATACTCAGTAACTTACAGCGGCACCGGCCTCTCCAGATGGACCTTTCTCACCAGCAAAGCCAGGCGGGCCAGCAATACCTTGTTCACCAGTGCGGCCAACTGGTCCAACATCACCACGCAGACCTCTAGGACCATCTTTGCCAGCTGGGCCAGGAGGACCAGGGGGACCTGTGATGCCCTAGGATCGAGTATGAATATGACACCATTACAATATAGACCCATTAACTTGGGATATCAGAGATAAACTTTGCTTTAAGTCCATGTTAAAAAAAAATGTGCTTTGCAATAAACACATTAACAGCTACTCTGATGCAGCAACTTCTATAGATTTGTCAGCAGAGGATAGCTGTAGGGTTATTGAACTGAGGGGTTTTTTAAATCAGGGCAGGTGAAAGTGGCATAATCTGGTGGGAAAATATAGATTTAGCGCTCTCTGGAGACATTAATTGCAATTATAAAATCTATGAGAAAAAAACCCAACCTCTTCCAATTCAACAGGATTATTTGCTTTAGATACTGGGATTTAAAATTTATTTATATCTAGGGTATCTAGGGAAAGAATTACTTTTTGGTAAAGGTTGGAAACACCTTTGAAAAGAAACATTTCAAATGTCAATCTGGAATGAGATTTTCTGGCTGAAAAATAAATAAGCAGGGATTCACATTCTAAAAAATAATGAGACATTTTCGTGCTCAAGACAGGGGCTGGAACTGCAGATAGTTTAGAAAGTGTGGATACAAGATAACCTTCACATGCTTTTCCACATTGGACATGATGTCCTTATTCCAATCCACCAGGTATAACTGTGTAGCCATTGATTTGAACAAAAGCAAATAAACACAGATTTTGCAAATGATTGGGTACTTCAAGATGAATAATAATGCTTGGCAGACTGTAAAAAACCTCCAAGAAATAAATGCATAGCTCCTACTCTGGGAGTCTGAACAGTTAGATTTTTTTTCTTATCCAATCCTATAGGGATCTGAGATATCTAATGCAATTAGAATTTGTGTCAATGAAACAAAATTTAGGATTATCCCTAACCAAAGCAACTTCTTATTTATCTCCCATTAGAACTTCATTAGTTACTTACAGCAGGGCCAGGAGGACCAACTCTTCCAGCAGCACCAGGGAAACCAGTCATGCCCTAAAAATGATAGTGAAAAGGAAGATTAATTTTAAAAGCAACAATAACTTCATGAAAAGCAACAATGTCAGTACCAAAAGTTTGAAGACTTACAGGAGGACCAGCATCACCACGAGGGCCAGCAGGACCAGCAGCACCAGCAGGACCCTAGGTATGAAGGATTGAAAAAGAGAAATGGATTAAGCAAAGGCAGTTAACGTTCCCTATTTACAATAAGGGCTCAGTGTCTCTCTCGTGATAGCTAAGGGTAATTTTTACTCCAGCAGGAGGATAACTGGGCCCAAAACCACACTGCCTATCCTGGTACTAGGGTATTAAATTCTCACAGACATTTAAAATCAGCATCATAAGGCCTAGGGAGAGTTGCATATAAGGCATTTATGATTCAAATGAATTTCCTTGCAAATGTTATGTGCATCTAAACAAATCTGGAAGTCAAAATGTGAAAGTAGGGCAAAACCAGTAAGTCCCCCTTTTGCACTGTGTGACTTATACATCCACATAGTGCAAGAGCCTGGTGTTGGTCTATTAAAATTATACAGTAAGTACCCCAAGTCATGTTATCTTGCAACACTTTATGGTATTTGAACTACCTGGGTCTGACTTTCTGCATGATTCAACCAGTTCCCCAATAATGGGCTGCATGCATGTGAAGCAGAATATAGCTTTGGGCTATAATGCTGGTAGCACATGAAAAGCCTGTGTGCAAGTGGGTGCATGAACAAATTTCCACATGCACTTCTGGATGACTGAGTCTGAAAACTAGTCTGTGACAGCACATCCTGACTTTGAGAGAAAGGTATCAACATCCTCAGCTCAGAACTTACCCACAATCTCTCCCTGAACGGTCCAAGATAGACTGACTTTGCTGATCTTCAGAGCAAGGTGAAAAGTAGGTGTTTGTTTTCTTTTCTCCTTGTTTCAGTTCCAGACTCACAATCTGAGCCCACATAAATAGACTGACAAAGTTTATATAATGCGTGAAAAATCAGTATGGTGACTTTCCACACAGCCTAATTTGTTTTGAAGTTTTGTTTCTTTTTTTAATTACTTTTTCAAAACTCAAGGCCTTCAGATTAGTGTATTGCTTGCACGGCACAGTTAAGAACTGTGCATTTTAACAAGACACAGTTCACTTACTGGTGGTCCAGAAGCACCGATTGGGCCAATAGCACCTGTTGGTCCAACTTCACCCTTAGGTCCTTTAGGCCCACGCTCGCCTTTAGCACCAGGTTGACCAGCTGCACCCTACAGGCAGAAAAACAGACAAGGAGCTAGAACTCTTGCAAAGGAAAGAGAGAAATGGCATGGCATCAATATCAGGAAAGCACAAACAGAACTCACAGGGGGTCCAGCAAATCCACTTGGACCTACGGGACCAGGCTCACCGCGTTCACCCTAAAGAGAGAACAAAGAAGAGAGGAATGGTTGGATTGGGCTTTAAAAGGGCAGTTTTCTGAACATCATGTCTTTGACACAAGAATAGTTGTAGAAATTGCTACTTACAGGGATACCACGGGCACCAGCAGGACCAGCAGGACCAGCAGGACCTCCTTCACCCTTAAACAGATAGAAGAAAACATTATGACACTGTGGGGAAAGGCCTTGCTGTAACCAGAATAGGGGTGACCTTGTGGTACTGGTGCAGTCACCTGTGTCTCCACTGGAGGAGATGTTGCTGAAAATGCTTCTTTTTTTGACCCACCCTGTATTAATAATTTCTAACAATTCTCAGACAGGATCATTCTGAGATAATGTGTGGTTATTCATCACTTTATCAAAACCCCTTCTCACACTGTGAAAAGGGTTGTGGAGCTTAACTCTGACTGGGAAGAATTCAGCCAAAGCCTGAATCAGAATCTTCTCCCCATATAACACAGTACCATGTAGATGTGCATCACTTCCCCGCCCTTTTAGGAAAAGGTTTGGGGTCCTATGGCAAACTTTGCTGAATAGTCCCAATAAACTTGCCTCCCAAGTCTGAAAAATGTACTGAACTTGTGCACATTAGAAAGATGGAAATCATCTTTAATATTCATGCGTGGGCAAACTGCATAAACAAACAAGACACTTTTTCATTCAGAGTAGACTTACCCGATCACCAGCACCACCAGCAGGGCCAGGAGCACCAATAGCACCAGGGAGACCCTGCAGGTCAAGAGACAGGACACCATTTCTAACAAAATGTGAGTAGGAGCAAGTACCAAGTACTTTAAATAATTTTTCTCTTTCCTCCTAGAGAAAGGTGTGTAACTTTCTTCCAGATGTTTTCAAGATAAAAGGACACATGATCTATTCTGTTATTTTCCTTCCCAATTATTATTATTGTTATTATTGTTATTATTGTTATTTCCTTCCCAAGTATTAATTCTAGGACAGGAACCTTACATCTCAAATTAATGATAATTTTTGTGTAGCTTTGCAGGCTGCCTTTAGAATTAGCTGTCTGGGCTGAGCCCATGAAATTAAAGAAGATAATGTCACAGTGAACAGCTATGCAATACAAGGTTCTCTACTCATGAAATTTCTCTGCTTGGACGCATGAGAAGTAAACACTTTTCTCTCTTTCTCCCCCTAAATTCAAACATCCCTGGACAAGGGTCAACAAAATCACATTGATTTGTATTAAAATAAGCAGAAAGAAGCAGTAACACAATAAGGGGGAAACTTAAGTCCTGAACATCCTTTTCAGTCACTTAAGTTCTGAGGTGCAGCAAGGCAAACTCAAGTAGAACCAAAAGATACTCACACGAGCACCGTCTCTTCCTGTTGCACCCATATCACCTCTCAGACCTGGGGCACCCTAGAATACACAGAGGGGAGAAAAGCATTATATTGGTAACGAACACAGTAGTTTGTATGAAATAAGTCTTGAACTGTTTGCTGGGGATCTGTATGTTACTTGCACATCATACAAGATGCTTATAATACTAGGGTATTTTTTGGGAATGGACTTTGATTATTATTTCATTCTTATTTCTGAGTATGCACTGACTTGAAAAGTGAAAATTTGCAAAGAGGATTGACATGCTTTTCAGAATTATAAGTCTGCTTCTTTCATGGGAAAGCTATTTAGTTTCTCCGAGGTCCCAAGAATTTTGGATGGAATTAAAAATTCAAAACCAAGTTGATGT